CCACATAGTGGCGATATCCAAAGTCTTGGGAAGAAAGGTGACGTGATATTTCAACAATGTGTATGTGTATGTGTATGCACATGTCGTATATGTATATGATGTATATGCCCCTAGCGTAGAGCACGGTACCGCTGGGCGTGAAATAGAGATTGAAATGAGAGACAGAAGTTGAAGTTGTTGGTGGCGCCTGCTGTGTCAGGACTTACATGAGGCGGTGTGCGCCATCCTGGAGCCCATGAACCAGGAAACAAAGAGGGCACTGGCCTGGGGCACAGATTGCGGTTCCGGTGGGTGCGCAGCTAAGCCTCCGAAGCGGATCAAGGCTTGGCTCCGACGACCAGAGCTGCGGCTCGGTCTGGCCCCCCACCTGAGCCCTAGACTGGCCCGATCTGCCTCTTGCAAAAGGTTCTTTTTTTGGGAGGTTTCTCAGCTACGCCTATACGGGCTAGCGCAACAGGTCTGCCCCCGGCCTGGTTTCCGATGCCACTGACCGGCCTTTCCGCGCATATCCGGGTCGCCAGGCGATGCATGGGAATCAGAATGCGACGGCGGAGACGGAAGGGACAGCTGGCCGAGCCTGCAGAGCCTGCAGAGTGCAGACTCTGAAGGGCCCAGAGCCCAGAGAGCAAAACAGAGCCAAAGCCCAAAACTCGCAGTCCGCGCTGGCTTCGCGTTCTCAGGCCAGAGCTGGCAGGTGCTGGCCTCGGAATTACGTCCTTACGTCCTATGACCTCTATCTTTCAGGCCTGCCACGGTCTCCGCCAGGCTCAGCCGGGGCCGGGGGCAGCTTTAAGCGGGGTAGAATGTGTCGCCCCTGAGGCCGAGGCTGCGAAGCAGCTGGTCCACGGCCCAGCCCGGTTTCGGGTTTTTTCGCGGAGTTTTGCGGACATGCCGACTTCACAGGCAAATCACGTGTGCTCCAAAGCTCCTAGAGACAAATCCTATAAGGCAGCCTCACGCTTAGTTTCTCTGACATGTGCGAGCCACGAGGACGACTGCGACAACAACAGAAACACGGGACCGCCAAGACACCACTTGCAGACCGCCACAAAACCACAAAAGACCAGCGGATCCTCAATAAATATACTGAGACACGAGCACGCCAGATGTCCCACGCCACAGCGGGAGCTGCGTGGCGGGAAGCTGGCACTGCGCGGACATGCTAATCAATTCTCTTTAGCTCAACGTAAGAACCCCATAGCCCATAGTATTGCCACGCTCACGAACTTTCAAAACGACACCCGAAAGGGGCCTCGGCCCGTAAAACATCGGTGTCGGTCCACACAGGCCGCTTTCCCAAGCCTGAAAGCCGCGGCGAGCCGATGTTGCCAACAACACCCTGGTGCTTCAGTCAGGGCTTGTCAAGCGGTTGGTGCGAAGACGCTCGTTGCGCTGACTTGGGTTTATGGAGCGTGGTTCTGCAGGGTTGATGATCGGTTGATGTGGTTCTGCAAGATAACGATCGAGGTGCTTGGGAGATTGTGGTCTGGAAGGCGTCGAAAATCTGCAGCTTGAAGGCTCCAAAGATCTACGCTCGTTGTGCGGGCTGGAAAGCGAGATACCGAGGCATTATACTGCTGCTGCTGCTGCTACCACTACGAGGACAGCGACGGCTGCTACTGCTACTACCCCAAACAGCCCCGAATGTTGTAAAACCCTGGCCCGAGCTTCCTGGAAACGCCAATCCTGATTTTCCGACGCCTTGGCGACACAACGCCCCACAGCCCGCGTGTGGATCCCGGCAGCTGTGCAACAGATCCCGAACTTGTGGCTGAAGGCCGTGCGGCTAAACGGACGGAAGCGGCGCCCAAAAGTGCAAAATTTTCCGCATTTCGAAAGCTTGAGGGCTTTGCGTTGGAGTGTGTTGCCAATTAAAGGCCGAAAGGATCCCCGGCTACGTGCAGGTTTCGTGAAAGTGAGCGAAGCGAAGATGGCTCTAAAAAGGATCAGGAGTCCTCCAAGGATACCATACGAACTGCAGGAAACCTGACATCTGTGACTGTGGGAAGGTGCAAGAGCTGGCAGCTCGGGACCCCTGCTTTGGAGGAGCCGGTCGGGGACCCCAGCGACGCCGCAACACGCGCAGAATCCCTGTGTCAGTTTATGGATTTGAGGTACTCGTAGATCGTAGAGTCGTAGAGCCTCGAATTAACAGAAGACCTTCCTTCCTTTGGGCTGATTCTCTTGCTGGGTTCTGATCCTCTCGGATCCGAGTCCTTGAGAAATCGCCGAGGACACGGCATCTCCAGTTCCGTCTTTCTAGTAGGATTTCCCCTTCACATATTTTCCACTTGGCACCTTGGCTTCAATACAAGCGTGAGGGCTTCCGGCGTAGGCGCGTTCATTGTCTTCTTAGATCTGTTGCTACAGAGGTTGGAGTACAGGAACACCACACACCATTGCCGGGTTCTCTTGCATGTGAAACTACAGAAAGGTACATGTACAGGCGGACCATAATGAAACAAACACTCGAGTGCTGCCATCCTCTTGCATCAGAGCAGCACAGCGCCCGTACATGGACATATGCACAGAAGAGAACATGAATGCCAAAAATCTGTTTGTTCTTGTCTATATACAGATATAAACACATGTCTACACATCGTTGTCACTACCTCAGAGAGAGAGAGAGAGAGAGAGAGAGCGAGCGCGGGGGGTAGGGTCATGCTGAGTCACCAACCTTGGCATGCACCCCCCCTGCTGCAGCGAAATGGCTGCAAAGGGGACACGATGTGGCACAAGCGGGGATACCGACACCTTTGCAGCCGACGACCTAGTTGCTAAGGATTACTAAGGATAGGCCGACGAGACTGCGAAGGGGTTGGGGTTTGGAGTCTCACACCACCTGAACCAGACGTGGACTTCGGCGTAGTGCTGCGGCACAGGGGGATGGGGGCGCGTCTCCCGTTTCCCCACACGCCTAGCGGGCAAGCAAGCAAGAAGTAGGGTCCTTTGCTGCATCAGGGGAGCAGGGGCAGTCACAGTTTGCCCGCGCTCAAGCCTGGGGGCCAAAACTTAACGGCAAGACGGCAACTAAACGGTAATCTTGTTGTGCATGTCGCGTGTCTTTGAGGCCTACGTGTGTTTCAAGGCGCCGCTTTAACTGCTGACCCACAGTAATGGGGACACCGATCCCGACTGCAGCCTGCCAGTGGTGAAGCCTGGGGGCCGTCACTCCTAGGGGTAAGCCCGTCTCGTGCAGTCGAGTTGAACCATTCAGCTCAGTTTTTCAGCACGTCCAGAGCCAGAGCTGGCCCAGCCCGCACGAGATGACGAGCCGTATGTGTGGTGTTGCCAAGTCCCCACATGCGGGGGGGCGACCCCTACGCCCAGCAGAAAGAAAAAGAGAGAGATGCAGTGATCATAGGAGTTTGCCCTGCCAACACAGCGACGCCAAGGAGCCCAATTTGTCTGGTGGATTGCTGTTGCTTTTCCACTGCGGTATTAGTTCACATGTTCAACGCATGGTGGTGCCTAGCTTGCTCCTTCATTGCTCCGTCGTACTGCCACATCCTGTGCCTGGGGTGAACCGAGTGATCCGACTTTGATGGCAAGTTAACGCCATCCGCGCCCTCCCCCGAGAAGGTCTGTGTGTTCGACCTCGGCAACAGCCTACGCGCTTGGGATTGTGTGGTCGGCCTACGCGCTTGGGGTCTCTTCGCTGGAGAGGTTCTCTGCGCAGCGTAAGGCCCCGCCGGGTCCGGTCCAAACTCGGTTTCGGTCCATCATAGACACTTTTGCAGACTCCTTCCACGTCTGTTCTGATCTGAGAGGGCCCTTCATGCTTTGTCGTCGAGGACTGCAGCTTGTAGGCACAGATGTACGTGAGCAGTCACGTTCATGCTCAGGCTTACTTTCTGTGTTCACCTGTTCCAAGGTATCCTGTGTACTCCTGAGTCCGCACTGTTGATTGCTTTCTGGTATGACACGATGAGTATTGCTCCATCCTTTATGTACCTGGGCGTCTCGTCGATGCTCTGAAGTTATTCGTCAGGTTGTCAACCAATAGTGTTGTCTGGCAATGCTGAAGCTCTCCTTCCTGAACCTGACAGTATTGCGCCTCGATCCATGCCGCACGTGGTTCATCTTCGGGTTGTCCCAGCTTCAACTGCCAACTGGTTCCATGCATAGTTCTTGATTACGTAGGTTGAAAGCCATCTTCTGTTTGCGGACCGAGGACTTTGTTGATGTGATGTTCCAAGTAGTCACACGCCGTCATTTCATGTTCCGGAAGGATGGTGTTGAAGGTTTTGCATTTCAATATTGCGTCTCTTTCGAAGTAGGTGCACCCTCAGCAGTGCCTTTAGTCCCGTGAGCTGGTGTTCGAAACAGTCTTTGCTGTTGTCACTGAAAGCCGTTGCAGCCTTTGGGTTCCTTCGGGGGTTGGAGACGGCACGGCGGGGCACGGCGGGTGGGTGACGGGCAGCGCTATAGCATTTTTGCTCGGGTGACGAGGTGGGGGTTGGGGTTTCAGGATGGGTGATAAAAGCAGTTAAAGGTGCGCGGGCCGCGGGCCCCTTTCTTCCCCATGTGCAAGCAAGCTAGAGAGCCAGAGAGAAAGAGGGAGGGGCTGTCCGCTCTTCTTTTGGCTGTGCGGAAGAAGAGCAGAAAGAGTGAGTGAGTGAGTTCGTGAGTGAGAGTGAGGGCGAGGGCGACAGCAAAGCAAAGAGAGAGAGAGAGAGTGCAATGCTTCTTGCACATGATATGTATGCATCTGTACATGCATTCGAAAAGATAGTTTCGCGATGTTTTGCGAGCCGCTGTCGCATGCTTCCCCCAGGAGACTTTGACCTTTGGCACTTGGCCGCAGCCTCGGGGCTCAGGCGGCTCAACCGTCGAGTTCCACATGATGTTCACCGCAGGTGCGTGGTCTGCTGAGAGCAAAGCTGCCGAAAACGTCCGCTGCTTCGCCGCTGAACCCAACCTGAAGTAGCGGCTTTCGACGAGTTACCGATGTGCGGCCGCTGAGGTCTAAAATGCCCTTGGCCTTGCTAGCTGCCACAATGGCCGCTGTGTTGCTGGCATCGCGCGGGAGGCCAAACCGGACATGCTAACAGTGTCGCAAGTATCAGACCAGCCTTGCCGGCTTCGGCAGGCATCAACGGTTCGAGCGGCGTCGCTGGATGGCTGGGATTGTTGCAACATTGGCATCGGCCGCCGGTGGCCGCCCCAGCCGAACAGGAGCACCGCGGTCACATACTGATTTCAATCATCAGCAAACCCTTGTTTTCACGCATTCAGTCCGAACGCCTCCAGCAGAGCATCTTCCAACAGAGCATCGGAAGAGCATCATCGAACCATCAGGCCTTATCCATTCCCGCACAGCAGCCGAGCGAACCATGACAACCCAGACCCCATCCGTTCCCGTGCGGAGCATCCATGATCGAACCATGACAACGTCCTTTCGGATCCCATCCGTTCCCGCAGAGCAGCCATGATCGAACCATGATAACGTCCACCCAGACCGTAGCCGTTCCAGCACAGCATCCATGATGGAACCATGATAACGTCGCCCAGACCACCATCTGTTCCCGCAGTATCCATGATCGAAACATGACAACGTCCAGCCAGACCCCAGCCCATCAGTTCCCGCTGACCATCCATGATCGAACCATGATAACGTCGCCCAGACCACCATCTGTTCCTGCAGTATCCATGATCGAAACATGACACCGTCCAGCCAGACCCCATCAGTTCCCGCAGACCATCCATGATCGAACCATGATACGTCCAATCAAACCCATCCGCTCCTGCAGAGCATTGCGGTGATGATTATGATGGCGTTTATGACGGCTATGATGCTGATTATGACGAGGATTTTGATAATGATTATGGTGGGCATGACTACTATGTTTGCCCTATGGCTGCTATGACTCTGACCCTTAGTATTATGATTACGATTGGCTGACCACCAGAAGACAAGTCCTAGAATCCCTAGCACTTGGTGGCGTTTCAGTCAGGTAGCAACATTGTCATTTGCATGGTCATCAATGTTATCAGCTTAGGTATCGTCATCGGCTTTCTTATCTGCGGCAGTAACAGTCCACGTAGGCAACAGCCATGAACAGCATCAACATCAGTATCAGCGTCATTTGTACTGCGAGCAGCCGTATTTTCGTTTCTTAGCTTCTGGGTGGCCTACAGAACAAACCGCATTCGCATGGACGTCATCATCCCCCCCATCCCCGCCAAGGGAGAACAACAGAAACACAACATAACAAACCGCATTCTCATGGACGTCACCATCCCCCCCATCCCCACCAAGGCAGAACAACAGAAACACAACAGAATAAACCGCATTCGCATGGACGTCACGATCCCCTCCCCTATCCCCCCCCCCATCCCCAGCAAGGCACAACAACAGAAAGACAAGAGAACAAACCGCATTCACATGGACGTCATCATCCCCCCCATCCCCCGCCATTCCCCACCAATGCATAACAACAGAAACACAACAGAAAAAACCGCATTCGCATGGACGTCATCATCCCCCCCTTTGCACGGAGCTCAAATAGAAGTAAGCAGGCATGTGCTAAANNAACTCGAGTCTCGGCACAGTGCAGACCGGAAATGGGGAAACACCGGGAAAAACGATGCGAAATGCGCAACGTAGACGAAAACATCGGAAAAAAACTGTGCAAAAGGGATAGCTGATATATTGTTTGCACAGTGCATCTCGGTTTTTTGCCCATTTGTTGGCAAAAGCACCGTGAAAAACCGAGGCGAAAGAAAAACCCAAAGTTTTTGTCGGTGCACCAACGTGCCAAAACTCGAGTTTTAGCACATGCCTGCCCCGAATTCGCTCCACCCCGTGCGGCGGCAGACGCACGTGCTGCCAACAACTACAACAACAACAACAACAACAACAACAGTGACAACCAACACTGCAACAACAACAACAACAACCACTACCAACCAACACTATAACACTAGCAGCAATTTGCAACTGAACGCTGCGCGAGCGGGCTTCACGCATGGCGGGCAAAAACACTAGCAGCAACAACAACAACAACAACAACAACGACAACATGACCAAGACCACGACCAACATCAACAGTGTGAGCGATAGACACAAATTTTGCATCCCCCGAAAAACCTTGACAATGCACAATAAATCATCGGCAGCTGTCAGGCTTCGCCACAAAACGGCTATGATCAAACCCGCGTCGTGTTTGGCATGCGAAAACCATGTGTTTTGCAGCATTCCACAACAAGCACTACAAATTCTGGTGGTTGGTTTCAACCACTGAAATGGGCCTCAATCCATGCGAAATGCATAAAGCTAGGGCAAAGCACTGACAGAACTCGCGCCCGTTGGGATGTTTTAGGACGTGATCCTATAAGCTAATGAACTACTCTTTCCTGAAGTTGCACTGATTCCTAAACAGAGGCAAACCATGCGACGTTTCATCGGAGTGCGTTCTGAGTCGTTCCGTAAGCTACGGATCCATGATCGATCTTGGTCTTTGTCCTGAGGCAGCAACTGAGCTTCATGGACCTTGAGCCTAACGCGGAACCTTTAGCACGATAAATCTCGGGCTTAATCAGAATAAACCATAAGTAACATTGAAGAGACCACGCAGCCTCATTCTGATTGAGTCTGAACTCATGTGAGCTAAATATGATGTTCACTAATTAAGGGAAGGGCTTAAAAACAGACTGGGGGGATTCCTTGGGCTGTGAGCAGAAAACACAGCCCAGGGCCCCGCCCCACTGTCAATGACTGCATTTGCACATGTCTGAAGCATCAGCCCACCACGAATCATGGTTGGCACGCAAGACGGGGGTAGCCCAAAACACGCTACGGCCAACCCAAGCACTGCGACCAGACGCTGCGCAGCCTCCGTGAGGTGTTGCGGCGATGTTCCTCCATGGCGTCCCAGCGTACTCCACAGAAATGTCTTGTCTTCTGGATCTAGGAAAGCTCCGTTGCGCTGAGCTTGCGTTCAACCGCAATCTCGCTGTCAAGTCACTTATCAGGACAGGTACTGCAGTGCAGCGCGGAAGACTGAAGTAGGATGAAATCGGCCGTAGAGGGCTTTCTGGGTTTCGGCCTGCATCTAAAATAACTGAATAAGCTTGGCCGTCGCTGTCGGGCTGTCGGGGTCGCCTTAGCCATGCCGCCGCTCTACCCCTCGCCGGGGCCCTTTCCCACGCACCGGGCGCTGGCCGCGGTGAGCCAGGCCGGGTGTGGCGAAGGGAGCGTGGAAGCGGAAGAGATGTTTTGCTCGAAACAGACCACAGCACGCGACGCGACGTGCTGGGAGGAGGCGGTTCGGCGGTGCTACTACGAGACCAGCAGCGACCGAGCCCTCCACGCACGTCCCCTCTCCGAGGCTGTGGGAGCCGCGGCCCGCGGCTTGGCAAAAGGGGTTCCGCAGCCCTTCAGGAGATCCGCGGGGAGAATTACCTGAACGTCCATGCCATTGGCCAGCGAAACACCAAGCGCCTCAGACTTGCAAGATGAAGATGAAGCCCTAGGGCCTGCTCGTAGGCGCAGCATGCCGCAGAGCGCTCAGAAAACTGCATCAGCTGCTCAGGTATCTGCAGTGGACGCGGAGGTGGCCTGAAGCTGGAGATCCAATTCCTTGCTCAAACTGGTATCGAAAGTTCTCTTCGCTTTCTTCTCTTCCTTCGCTTCGCACTCGCAGTGTGGCGCCCTTGACGAATCGCTTGGCCTGCCACCACACGCAGCAGGCGCTCGACAAGGAGAGAGGACAGCTTTCAATTTTGTGTAAACGTGTACGCGCAGTTCCAACCCCTGGCATTGGGGGACAACAAGATCAACACCGACCTCGCAGCATCTGGGCAGGGAAGAGCGGGGCGGGGCGGCGGGGCGGCCCTTCCTTCTTTGTATCAGAGGCCTCCTTCAAGGCCGGCTGGCAGAAGAGCAAGGCCAGAGCCAAAGAGCCAAAACGCCACAGCTGTTACACTTTCTGAGTCTTCTTGCGAGCTAAGGGCGGGAGCCAGGCCGTGATGGACAGCAGGCGCCCTTGCGCTGTGAGCGGGGCTTGGGGCACCCAATGCAGACTCTGCTCGGAAGGACCGTCTACGAAGACACTTTCGTGGGCTGCGACAGAGAGGCGGGGGGGGGCGCCGCACACGGCCGCGCACACTTCTGCGTTGAAGTCTTCTTCTGGAGTGCAGCTGCTCGCCGGCCGGAGGCGCTGGCGGGCGCGCGGCAGCTCCGCTCTTAGAGCGCTGCATGGGAAGTTCGCGGCGCCGCGTCTCTGACTCCTCCACGTGTGTGCACGATCTCTGCATGCCGCGGGGCGCATTCGGCGCATTCTGAAGATGCCGCTCGACGCTCGTGACGGGATCATTGGATCCCAGATCATGCGGTCGAGCGGTCTGAGCGGGAGCTTCACAAGGCGGAAGATCGGATCGGAGAACGCCAGCAGCTCTCAGCACTGAGGCCAAATCGAAAGCCGCCCCAGAAGCTGACCAGCACCGTCTGCCCACCGGGCGAGCTCCTGGAGACCAAGTCCCACGTGCCTTGACCGGTAGGCGACGGAGACGGAGACGTGGGAGAGATCCTCGAAATTGTGTCTGCGCTTTCGAAGTTTTTGGAGAGTCTCTTCGATTCTTCGCCTGAGGAGCAGCGGCACTTTCAGGCGCCCCGCTTGGATCTTCTCAAAGCCGAGCGCGTGCCGCCGCCCAGGCCAGGCGGGAGCTGAGGGCGGTGCCGGAGCGGGGGGGGGGTAAGGGGCCGGGGGGCCGCAGAGGGCTCGCGACCCGCGCGAATGGCGCGCCTCGCGCCTCGCCGCGACCCGCGGTGCCTCGCGCCTGCCTCGCCGTGCCTGAGGCCTCTCTTGGCGCGAGCCCCAACTCGCAGTGCGGTGTGTCAGCGGCTCAGCGCCTCGCAGTTCCTCTCGAGGAGATGGGGGGAGCACCACGCGACCCGCCGAAGAGGACCAAACTGACTCTCTCTGCACGCCACATGGTCAGCGTTCACTGTCGAGACATGTCGAGCCTAGGGAGAGCGATGTTGCGGAGAGCGAGGAGCGCCTACGTGCGTGAGCACATCCTCTTGCGGAACGCCGGGAGCCGAACCTTGAACTGAGAGAAAGCGAAAGCTAGCTATAGGCTCCTCATGGCTCCTCCGAGACTCGCTGGCGCCCGCAATCAGGTCTCCAGCCCAGAGGTCTTCGCCACCCGTGCGGAGCGCCCCCAGGCAGATGCACACGAGTGAAACAGGCCTGCTGCGCGGCTACGCTTCAATGAGAGGCCCAGCTGGTGAACCTGGACGTGCTGGAAATGCGGTCTGGGGCCCGGCCGCTTGCTTGGAGTCTCTTTGTTGCCCTGTGCAACTCCGAGGCGCAACCCGTACATGAGCCCCGGCCAGTGAGCAGAGATTCTTCGGTTTCACAGCGCTCAATTGCCGAGCAAACTGCGCACTTGAAGAAAGACCTAGAGTGAGGAGCGAGCGAAGTGTGTCCGGCAGCTGCGCAAGCTGCGGCACAGCAGCGGTTCCGGCTGAGGGTTGCTCACTTTGAAACAAAGCGCGCAGCCTAAAGGCCTAAAGGCCGCCCTCGAGTCCCCGAGGAGTCTCACACCGCCGTGCTAACGGCACGGCCCGGCTCTTTTGGCAAAAGAAGACATCTCAAGTGGTGCCTTAGCAATGCAGAAAGCAAGGAGAGGCACAGCACAGCTGCCTCTCCGTGTGCTGAGGCCAGCGTCTATGCAGCTCTGCCGGCCCTCCTGCCTCACATTTCGGCACTCGACAGAGCTTGCATTGAACTTCACAGGCTTGCCAGTCGCAAGAGGGTACAAGATCAGGTGGCCTGGGTGGACCTGGCCTTCCCAAGGAGGTCGCAGGTGGTCTCTCAAAGAGGGGGCGGGGGGGAAGGGTCAGAGTCCAGGTGCTAGAAGCTTGTTGACTGGTGGTGTAAATAGTGCACACACACCAGGTCCAGGTATGTCCGTACATACAGACATGCAAGCAGACAGACATTGTACATGCGTGCAAGCGCAGATCCTGCGTGTGTCTATCGATCTGTTTGTCTAGCTATCTTTCTATCTATTTAGGGTTTAGGGTTTAGGGTTTAGGGTTTAGGGTTTAGGGTTTAGGGGTTTAGGGTTTAGGGTTTAGGGTTTAGGGTTTAGGGTATCTATCTCTCTGTCTATCTATCTATCGATCTATCTATCGATCTATCTATCGATCTATCTATCTATCGATCTATCTATCTATCTATCTATCTATCTATCTATCTATCTATCTATATATATATATCTCTCTCTCTCTCTCTCTCTCTCTCTCGCTCCGTGCTATTGCATATATATATGAATACAAACACATACACAGATCTACAATTTGGTGTATATGGACA